GACAAACAACAACTTTCCAAGTGAATCGTAGGCTCTTGAATACTGCATTTTCATTTTGCTGAGCTTACAGAGTTCAAATTTACTTTCTTTACTTTCCCAACAATAAAATAGATCTGCTTAAAACGAGAGTTTGTACTTTTACTTTTGTTTATTGAGCTTTTATTATACCACAATACTAGCCCTAACAACTAAATGTTGGAACAAGCAGTTATTTTGCGAATATAATGGCAATTTATCTAAATTCTTTAAATTTATTTTTTTTAATTGTAGGTATGAAATTAACAACATTTTTTATGATGTATTGAATTATTTTTGCGGCTTAATTATATATTTTATATTGATTACTATTTATTTAATTGTTTGATAATCGAAAACTGCTGACAACTAAATATTGGAACATTTGTTGCTTTTCCTCACGTTTCTTAAGTTTTATCAGCCTGACATAAAGAAGGCTTTGAAATCAAACACACGAGTAGGTAATGCGTTGTCACAATAATTGTAATACTCCATTTAACTATGAATAAGGACAAACGTAAGTTTTATTACGAGTAAAATATAATAATGGAACGAGGAAGCCCTACTAATCCAAAAGTTCGAGAAATTATTATTCATCAGTACCATGAAAGGAAAACAATGCGTGAAATTTACAGTGAATTGACTGTAGCAACAACTACTGTGTTTAATATAATTAAGAAATATGGTGAAAGTGCCAGTATTGATGGTTGCGACAAAAGTTGAGGCCGTCCAAAAGCTGTTTCTGAAAGGAGTGTTAGCATTTAAATAGAATACGTAAGTCGGGAAGAACAAATACACTACAAGAAGTAACTGCTAGAAGTAATAGAGAAACTGGTATAAATGTTTACAGATAATCCTGTCCCAAATATATCCACAAAATCGGTCTTAGTTTTTATAAGGTATTGTTGATAGGCTCTTCTTTGCGATATAAATTTTCTATTTTTTGATTGAATCGAAAAGGCCAAAGAAAAACCATTGCTGACAGAAACTCAGAAAAGGAATCGCTACATTTGGGCTAAATCAAAACTTTCGTGGACCACACATAACTGGGACAAAGTTATCTATGGCAACGAAAGCAAATTTGATGTCTGTGTAGGAGATTATCTAAAGCGTGTGATTCCGGAAAAAGTGTGACTCGAGAAGCAGTCCATAAATGATTTTCTTAAAAAACTGTAAAGTTTCCACAGGGCACCATGGTGTGTTGTTTTATGTCGGCCAAAGGGTTTAGAACGTTACATTTTATTGAGGCCATAGTAAATGTAGCTAAATATCAAGATCTTTGAATATTCGTTTGTAACAAGTGCGTCAAAGTTATATCCATCCGGAGATTTTATCTTTCAGCAGGACGGAGCCTCATGCCATACGGCTAAATATACCAAAAAATGGCTGGGATAACATGACATTAAAGTTTTGTCACATCCTTCTAGCAGACCGGATTTTAATTCAATAGAGACATTATGGTACAAAATGAAACAACACCTAAGAAATAACCCCCAGCGTTATTTGTCATAACTACGTGCTAAATTACAGGAAAATATAGTTTCACCCCTGTATTCTGTGAAGAGCTAGTTGATACAATCTTTAATAGAGTTTAGGCTTTATTCACGCTAAGGGCGACGTTACGCCTTAATAATTTGTATTTTAATTTGTTAAAATCCTCTTGTTCCAATATTAAGTTGTCAGCATTTTTTGGCTATCAATCAATTAATTAAATAGGAATCAACATAAAATATATATTTAAACTTTATAAATAATTCCATATATCATAAAAATGTTGCTAATTTCATATCTACAATTTAAAAAACTTAAAACAACAGAATTTCGGTAAATTGGCATTTTATTCGTCAAATGATTATATTTTACTCGTAATAAAACTGACGTTTGTCCTTATTCATAGTTAAATGGCGTATTACAATTATTGTTGACAACGCATTACCTACTCGTGTGTTTGATTTTAAAGCATTCTTTATGTCAGGTTGATAAAATTTAAGAAACGTGAGGAAAAGCAACAAATGTCCCAATATTTAGTTGTCAGCAGTTTTCGATTATATATATATATATATATATATATATATATATATAATATATATATAATTATATCATATATATATATATATATATAATTATATATATATATATATATATATATATATATCCGTTTTTTAGGCGTTACGCCATCCGGTAGGGATCTATGGAGGAGTATCACCGAGCCGCAAGCCCTTATCTCTTTCCGTACTGCTCCACCATAGGCCGATTAGATCCCAGCATATTCTAGTCTAAGCCGCAGATTCATCTAGAATTTTAAACTGCTGCGTTAGACTTTTGGTTTTCTGTACACCGAGCTGGGCTCGATCCCACATCCACTGAACCATTCGACAGTGAAGCGAATGAGAGGCAGCCGCACAGCCCGCTGAGCTATCTGACCGACCGATTATCAAACAATTAAATAAATAGTAATCAATATAAAATATATAATTAAGCCGCAAAAATAATTCAATATATCATAAAAAATGTTAATTTCATACCTACAATTAAAAAAAAAAAATAAATTTAAAGAATTTCGATAAATTGCCATTATATTCGCAAAATAACTGCTTGTTCCAACATATAGTTGTTAGGGCTTGTATAATAGGTAATATAAAACAAACCTGAAAGTACAACACTAAGAAAATCTAGGCCATATTTTTTAAGTATATTTTACCATTCATAACTGACTAGAAAAGATTTGTCAACAATTTTTATAATCCCCACATTATTTGTTCTAAATTTATCCACTTAAAGGTTTCTTATAAAGTTCATTTGAACTAACTTCAGTAGTGTAAACTTTTGTTTTTCGAAAACGTATTAATAGTTCCTATTAATCTTTATTTTGTCCGTTTTAGTTATTCTTTTTGTGTGTTTTTACGATGTTCTAATAAATATATTAGCTTTTGACTCATATATTATAATAGCTTTCATCTTACCCTCAACTGTCCTGGAATCATATGAATCTATTTTATTGTATCGTGATAAGAACCACCGCCCAGATCGATTCTTCAGAGGCTCAGTTTTTCTGTTTTTTTTATAAATTTGTGAAAATGTCCCAAGAATGAATTAATAAAGAAACACTGATAAAAATGGTTTGAAGAAAAAATTAATCGGGAGAAAATAGAAAAATAATATTAAAAATTCGAAAATAATTAGGTAAAATCAACAAAATAGAAAGAATGGAGTTAGAGGGAAAGTATAAAAGAAAAGCTAGAGAAAACACCAAACTAAAAGAAGGTCAGTCTAGAAAACTTTAGTGTAAATTAATCAAAAATTTTTCAATAAAATCGCTTCAGCTGAAATTGTGCCCGAATTAATGCATTATATTATCACCGAACGAGCTGCAGGTGAATATTTTCCAAATCTGGAAAACCGTATTTCCACCCGTATAAATTGTCAGCAAAGTATTTTCGCCTATATAGCGTTAGTAGGAAAAGGAAATTAATTCTCGAGAATATCTTTTAATATATCTGTGTCTGGAGTGTGTTCACAAATGAATAGTCACTGCAAAGGCTTTGCTATTATGTTCAAGGTGTAGGTATATTTATTTTTCATTTATAACTTGAACTATCTAAAAATACATTGAATACGTTTCACTTACTTATAGGGTGGCAATATGTAGTCTAAATTAATACAAATTTAATTTTTAAATTAACTTGAACAGTGAAGTAAAAAACTTGTGATGTTTAATGATATATATTAGAAAGGAAATAAATTTCAGAACGTGTTCGGTTTTATTAGACCACCATCACAGAAAATATTTTTCCTTTTTTGAAAACAAAGAGATTTTGCCTACTATTATTTAATTTTTTAATTATTTAAATATTGTAGAGAACAAACTTGTTGATAAAAGGATGCAAAAGCTGCATCTCGGAGTATTTGTCTTTATATTTTTTGTTGGTTACTTTTAAATACTATTTAAATTGCATAAATTTAAAAGTTAATATTGTAAGTAAAGTTAATAAATTTTTAAAAAATTTCTACAAAATAATTTTTGTTTAGAGAGAACAAGTTCTATCCAATTTTTTTCTGTAAGAATTTTTGTACTCTGCCTTGTATGTGCCGAAATATCAAGAAATTTAACTTTTTTGAAGGTATTCCAGCCTTTACGTACTCCGATTTGTAGAAGATTATTAAAATAGAGCATAAGATCGGCTCAATTTCGTACCTAACGTAACCTAACTGAACCAAAAGCTAACTTAATCAACTAAAATTTACCAAACATGATCTAGTCACAGTTACTTCTTAAACTTGCATATATGCATATTGCATCTTGGCAATCAGTGTCGTCAGTTCAGCTTCAAAAGGACTATAAAGAGATCAAATTGAGAATAATTAGCATTTAAAAAAAGGACTATTACTTACTTTGTTGAAAACGCTTCAAGCAACGGTTATTAAAACTAATGTACGCAATAAGATCAATTTTGTCAAATCTATTGTACATTTTGAAGGTAAATCTAAGATACATTTTTAGTCTGTATGTTTAATTCTTAGGATGTAATATATAGTATTAAAATACCTTTCTATAAATCTTTCATGTATTTAGCATGTTTTTGAACTCTTGTAAAGTATTTAATTCTACTTTTTTCTAGTTAGCTTATTTCTTATGTAATAATTGCATCATTATTTTCATTATCATGTTATACATTATTCATTGTAGTTTAAGTAACCGATAGTGAATGTACAGTATAACTTTACTCAGCTTTAAGAGTTTATCTCAGATGAAACGAGATACAAAATGGGGGAAGTTACTATTCTAATATACGTTTTTCTCTTACGCCGAAGTGCAGTTGTTGTGTTTTGTTCTAATGTAACTGTTTGCATGCCTACAAAGTTGTTGGTCACAGTTCACTTTATTATACATATTTGTATACTTTGCGAATCCCATTGCATGCAACACATAGTAGTTATAGATATAGTACCTGTAACTTCTGTTATATGTATTTATTTCTGTACAGCTGGATCTTGTGCTTAATTCCCCGGATGGAGGCGATCTATCTGACTTTATAACGAACGGCGAATGGTACTTAATTGGTAAGTTTCAATCAAAAGTATACGTTAGCAAGTAACTTATTGTAGATATTGATTAAAAACTAGCATAAATCACAACTAGACCAGAAAAATCCGCAAATAAAAAGTATTTTTCATGATTCTCTTTGATACAGGTATCTAACAATGTGATTTTTTACTTATAAACAAAATTGAAGAAAAATGCTTATTTTATTAAATTAAATCATTTAATAATTAAAAAAATTATTTTAAACATTCTAAAATAGGTTTTCAAAAGTACTGTGATTTTAAGCTTATGAACATTTAAAATAACTCAGATGCATCAACATAGCTACAGGAAGTTAATTTTTTAATTGGAATTTCGGCATTTTTAGAGAAAAAAAATGTCGTACGACCCTTACAACCCGAGTTAGCATTTTTTTATTTCTCGATATAGTATTTTAAAAAACTTAATTCACAAATTCAAGATAAAAGTCGCGATGTCTCTGGTTCTTATCAACAAAATTGATGTTGATCTTTTTAATTTGGGGTACCTCGTTGCAAAGATTATAAAACTTCAATTAGTTAATTTGTGAATTGTTTATTGAATCGAGTAATTTGTTTAAACAATTAAAAATAAATATTTATTTCGCAAAATTTTACTTTTTCCTTATTATTAGTACTAAAAAAGGTTATGAAAAGAGAGGCAACTTAAATGTTTATATAATATAGTTATAAAAAATATCTTTTAAAAATACATTTTACAAAAAATTTATTTTTTTTTCGAATTTCAAATCTATCTCTGTACCTCAGCGCTAAACGGTATTAACTCCATTTTTTTTAATTGTATTATCTCACTTTCTACATAACCGACTTTGCATCTTTCATATGCAATACAATATTAAATCCTATTTATTGTGGTTAAAAAGATAGGCATCGTGAAAGTGTATTAAGTCCCTCAGTAGTTTCGAGATAAACAATTGTTTACACCAAATACCCAGTAAAATAAAAGTATTAGTGGAGTTAATATCACTTGCACATGTAAGAAGTATTAACTCCATGGAACGACATAAAACCGCGGTGTGGCACTGTAATCAGTTTGTTTGTGCTGAGTTAATGAAAAGCAATACACCCGAAGAAAACATTGCTAAATCTCGGCTATATACCGAAATATTTCACACATAATTTAATCTTTCATTAGAGCTCTCATACAATAACACGTGTGATGTATGTGACAGATTAAATTTGTCCAAAATTCAGATAGTAGAAAGAAAAGAAAATATTAACCAAGATCATCAACAATATGTTCTGGAGGCTGGTAACAGGTATGAATTAAAAAGACTTGATAGAGAAAGAGCAGCAACCTGTGGTGGAATAATAAAATTATTGACACTTGATTTACAGAAATATCTGCCGCCTGTTCTAAGTAACCAGCAGAGTTTTTATAAGCTCAAGTTATGGACATACAATTATACGATTTCAGACACTCACTGAAACTGTTACTTCTTGCATGATGTGGAATGAATCAAAGTATGGACGTGGGGCAGACAAAATGGCTTCAGGATTTTTGAAGTGGACTGAAGCATTAAATGAAAACGTAACAGAGATTATTGTGTGGTCCGGTGGTCCGACAATTACCCTTCCCAGAATAAAAATATGGTAATGATCATGCCCCACTTTTGACTTTTGAATAATTTACAAGTATCTATAGATCAAAATTATAAATCACAAGCTATATTACGTGGGCATGGGTACAGATGTACCAGCTAATACGAGAGATATGTATAGAAGAAGAAATCCCCTAACAATGGAAGAAAAGTATAATCTGCCCTATTCATAAAAAAGGAGACAAACTGTTGTGTCAGAATTATAGAGGCATCTCTTTACTTTGTTCGGGATACAAAATACTCACAAACATCATTAATCGAAGACTTCAACCTCTTACGGAAAAAATCATCGGGAAATATTAAACAGGGTTTAGGCAAAGTAGATCTACCATTGACCAACTATTTACAGTTAAACAAATACTAGCCAAAGCATGGGGATATGACATAGACGTTTACAATCTCTTGGTAGATTTTAAACAAGCCTATGATTCAATAGATAGAACAATCCTACCTAATATATTGGAAGAATTTGGCATACCATCAAAATTAATACGACTAGTGCAAATGAAAATGAAAGAAACAGAAGCACAGGTATGTATTCAAGGACAGTTCACTGATGCGTTTACGATAACGCAAGGACAGAAACAAGGCGACGGACTGGCTCCAACGCTCTTTAATCTTATTCTTGAATATGTAATTAGACGGTTGACTGTGAGCGGAAATAACATACATACAAATCTACCCAATTAGCAGCATACACAGATGATATAAACATAATGAGCAGAACAGTGAATGCAGCGGAAGAAACCTACGTTGAGTTGAAACAGAGTACAGAAGCAGTAGGGCTAGCAATAAATACAAATAAAACAAAAATACTCATACAAACCAGATCAAATAGACCGGCGCAACAACATTTTATTGACGATAAAGAACATGTGAATATATTCACATACCTAGGAATAGATCTGGTCGCAAGCACTGAAGAAGAACCGGAAATAAATAGAAGGCTTATGCTGGCAAATAAAGCCTATTTTGCGATGGGCCACATATTCAAATCGCGAGACGTACACCGGAAAACAAAATTAATAATCAGGCCCATAGTAAGTCATGGTTGTGAAACATGGGTGGTGACACAGAAATCTGCTAATGCATTAGATGTGTTTGAAAGAAAAATATTACGTAGGATACTGAGCCCACTAAGTGAAAACAACAACTGGCGAATTAGGTACAATAGAGAAATATACGAGCAATATAGCGGACCAAGTCATGCACAATACACTAAACTGCAGAGGTTACGGTGGGCAGTAATGCAGGGAAAAAGACCTGTTGGAAGACCTAAAAAGAGATGGGAAGACGAAGTCGATGAGGATGCCAGGAACTGTCTGGGAACGCGTTCATGGAAAAGAACACCGGTAAATCAAAATGATTGGAGAAGCTTGTTGAAGAAGACCAAGGCCCGATTTGGGCTGTAGTGCCATTGGATGGATGGATGGATGGGCGTACCATCTAGAAGTGGGCAGTGATTATTTTTAAAAATCATGACTCGCTGGGACTAGCAGCAGCTAGCATGACTTTGTTGTCTTTTTAAACCATTCAATGTAATTAATATGGAACTAAACTACTTTCAAGATTTTGAAACTCAGCAGAATACAGACTTTCCTATGTCAATTATTGTTGTTCTCTTGAATAGCAATAATTTAGGACTACTTCTTTTGAGCTAATTTTAATTCGGAAACATTCCAATCTGTTGATCTTAACAGAAATACTAGATGTGCTGTGTTTCCTGCGGCCCTGCCTGTGATTCGCAATAAGCCAAAGGAAATATCTACCAAAAAATTCACAACATCTGCAAAGTTTGCTCACCTGGATGCTAACTGAAGTTCATAATTTTTATAAAAAATTATTCCACTCCTATAAAGTAGGCGAGGATTTATAAATGTTTTCTCCAAAATGATTTTGAGTGAACAGCTCCCATGATCCATTGAGTTAAATAGATAGAAGTGGTCTTGACTAAGTTTTGTTTCATTTATCGTATTACCTCCAGATTATTATTCACGAGTGTCAACATTATCATTGTATTACATCCCGAACATGTTTTTTTCAAAAAATTGAAGAGCCAAAAAAATAACAAATACGGTAATATATAGTATCATTTATACCTATCAAATAGTGTCCATCACGTATTTAAAGAAAAAGAAATCAAAATTCGATTTCAAATTTACTGTTTATATTTCTTTTAAACTGCTTTTAAATTTTTATTTTGTGATTTAATACACTTTACCTCTGAGGTGCAGATGTGTATTCTTGAATTATGCTTATTATTTTTACAATTACTTTTGTTTACTAAAAAATATGACAAGTATATTTTATTCAAATTTATTGGTATAAACTTTGTATAATTATAAATAAAAATAGAAAATTTAAGTTGTAAATTGTAATATGTTAATTATATACAGATTAATTCCCTAATTTCTATTTATATACACAGTTTATGACCATTAATTGGTGTAAAATATATTTTTAATGTTTTTGAGAAAAAGTAACTGTAAAAGTAATAAGCATAATTTAAACAATATTCACACACATAGATTTGATGTTCAAATAAAAAATTAATTTTTGTAAAATTTATTGGTACAAAAAATTTTATTTATAACTACAATAGGTAAATATTTAAGTGGCTTATTATTTTATAACCTTTTCTATTAAACATAGTTTTTATATTGCAAACTACTAACGGCATTTTTTTAGGTATGCCAGGGAAGAAAAACACCATTGTTTACCAGTGTTGTCCAGAACCATATGTGGACGTGACATTTACTATCCAGATTAGAAGACGAACACTGTACTACTTTTTCAACTTGATCGTGCCATGTGTACTGATTTCTTCAATGGCTCTCCTAGGTTTTACATTGCCACCGGATTCTGGAGAAAAACTGACACTAGGTATTGTGCCATGCTGTATGTTGCTCTATGTGTTTGCATTTCTATATTTGTTTGGGTGACATAATATTTGACACAAGGGTCGTGCTAAATTTTTGCATAGCTGAGTGTCAATACTATAAAATATTTATATGTGTTATCAATATATGTATCTCTACCAATAACTATACAATTATATATACAACACACACCGAAGACACGTACATACTTCAAGCTCTTCATTGGACGGCTCAACTGATTCACATAAAACACTTTCAAAATTCAAAATCTTCATTTCAGGTGTCACCATACTTCTTTCATTGACAGTATTTCTGAACCTAGTAGCCGAAAAGATACCAACTACATCCGATGCTGTTCCGTTAATAGGTATGATTGGCCTACTGGGAGCATCGTGTGTTTTACACTCCGTGTACCCTTTAACGGACTGTCCGTTGATACTTGGAGGGCGTTGCCAGAATGCCCCTTTAGTGTCTTCCAAGCGGCACAAACTCTGTCGCTAAATAGCATGGATAAGATATCAATTACATCGATTACCTCTCGAGACAAACTAACCTGCCGTAATTAACGGTAAACATGTAAGACATCCTTTTCAACATTTTATTTTGATTTTAAATGAGCAAATTAATTTTAAATTATAAAAGAAAATGAAAAAAATATAGTCTCAAAAATAATATTAGCTATGCTGCAAAATTTACAATATACTGCCTCGAAAGAAACAACTATAAACTTTAGGATTATAACCATACCGACATTATTTTAATTACTACCTACATCATTGGGTGCTAATTGTTTAACAGTAAAATAACACCTCAGAAGTCTAACTATAAAAAGACACTTGAGATGACAATTTTATTGTTGATTGAACTAGCCCTACTTTGGGTGTAGGTGGTCTTATCTTAAATGCAAACCTAAACAATGAGAAATTTGTCAGAGACAAATAAAAGATAATAACTAATCATATTTATTAAATATAAAGAAATTAAATTTAATATTACCAAAAAGCAAATCTTGCCTAAAGCTGTAAAGAAAAAATAAAAATGCAAAAATATACTTATGGCAATTATAACATATTTTGTTACTTCTGAATGAGAGCTGAATACAGTTTTCACACGTGCCACTTCTAGAAAAGAGACTGAATATTTTCTCACATGGAGATAGCTATGGTAGGGTGGCTTACTTTATCTGTGGTGCGCCACGTAGTCAATTTGGGGGTCCCACCAAAAAGTTGAACAGGACAATTCCAGTACATGGAGAAAAAACTACAACAAGAAATCTTGTGTTAGCAGGCAGCAGAGAGAAATATAGCGCCTTGCTATGACGTTCCAGAAAATTAACAAATTTAAAAAAACAATTATCCCTACACATATCTTCAACAAAGTTGAAAAGAAACGTGGCTTATAGACGTTAGGTATGTAAATATGTGTAAAATAAACTTAATTATTAGAGTACTGTCCCCAAGAGAGATTGAATAGTAGAAAGTAGAAGAAACAGAAAAAACTTTCCTACTTCTATTACTTTGAAGTGGAATTTGACATGACAGAAATCAAACTTTCCAGTACAAATCATTTTATAACTATTTGAAAGTAGGAGGATCTTTATATACGGGATATGAATACGGAGGATGCACAAAGAATAAATAAGAATAAAATCTAAATAAGTGCAAATTTAAACTGAAACATAATGATTAAATAGAATATTTGATAGATGAGTTAAGCACCACATATTTGGAAAAAAATAGTAAAATAATAGAGAAAGTTGATAAATCAATAAAATAAAATAAATTAGAATAACATAATTATTTTGGTTAGGTCAAAACATTCAAAGTTCAAAAGCCACAGATAGTTGCTCTAATTGAAGATGTTAAACCTTTTTGTTTTGTTGACATCAATTTCTAAGTTAGCCTTTTAGTGTTTTACCCATTATGGCCCGCTTTTGAAGATTGGAAGATAAACGATGACATAAACAGAAAAGAAAAGACAGTATGATTTAAGACTCAGCAGACCTATATAAAATCCTCGCCTTACGTATTCTCATCGAAAAATACAACTACGGTGTGCAATAAACTGTGCGGTCTAGGTTTTCCCTTGGTGTTTGTGTGTATAGACGTACGTACGTCTAAACAATACGTACCTGTTACTGTTCAGAAAGTCAACAGATTTTGTATTGGGTCTGTCACGATTTGAACAAAAATCAGTTTGGATATTAGAACAGACCACTAGTTCTCCAGAATACCGTTGATAGTAAATGGTAAATGTACAATATTGTACAAACGTGTACAATCATATACAACCGAAGATCATCTTTTTTAAAATACAAACGTCGGCGAAAAACCTCTACTCTTTTGCATCAGACATCTTGAATATTTCATTAGTTGTGTTAAATGTTTATCCCGGTCACAAATTGATTAAACAATGCCTCTTGTCCAATAATTTATAAAAGTTAACTGAATTCCTAAAATTTTGGACGTTTTAGTGTACACCTACATTGGAACCGTATTTCTCCCGATCCGATATCTGGCGACGTCGGCCGACGTCGGATTAAAAACAAACTCAAGGTATTAAATCAGAGTGCCTATACTGCTTCGTCACGGAAGCAGTATAGGCACTATGATTTAATACCTTGAGTTTGTTTCCAATCCGACGTCGGCCGACGTCGCCCGATATCGGATCGGGAGAAATACGGTTCCAATGTAGGTGTACACTTAACTACAAGATTAGTTAAAACGTACGTATTTATTCAAAAATTGTTGTTAAAAACATAGTTTAAAAGTTAGGTGATTTTTAGTAAAAAAACAATTAGAATAACTTTCTTTTTTTATATACGTTTGCAGCCAACCGCTACGAAAAGTTGGTTAAGACGTTTATTAAAACAGTAAACCTATACAACAAATAGTATAAGACATATTTTTTTAGAAAATTTGTATATTTTACAGGCAAAAACTGCCTGTAAACTACTTTGTATTGTTAATAAATTAGATTGTTAAAGTTGTTCTGCAGAAATATTAAAAATTGGAACAATGTCATCTGAAAATCTTAGATGGCTGAAATATTCTGCATCAATGGATAGGCCTGTCAGTTCATGTTGCTGAACATATTTTCTAGAGTTACACTGAAGAACTTTGGTCATATTGCATATCTTTGTCGGACAACTCTGGTAGACGGTAGTGGAAAATTCTGGAGTGTTTTCATACATTTTTACCTTAGCTTTTGCTTGTCTGTATATATTTACATAAGTCTCTACGTACGGTTTATCAATGCATTGTTTGGTCAAAGCTTCTATTATTGCCTTGGGGTATATAGAATCGAAAGCCTTCTCGAAATCTATGAATGTTAATGCTAGCTGTATTTCATATTTTTTAGCTTTACTTATCACTTATCTATGCGTATAGATATGATCCAGGGTACTGAATCCACCTCTGAAGCCAACTTGCTCTCTTGGCTGTGCAACATCTAATGTATTTGTTAATCCGTTGTTGTTGATCTTTGTGAATATCTTGTATATGATTGGTAGTAGACTTTTAGGTCTGTAGTTTTTGATATCCTCTTTGATACATTTGCTATGAAGGAGAATTATGTTTGCTGTATTCCAGTGGTCTGGTATGCATCTTGATCTTAGGAAGCTCGTAAATATGCTTACTAAGATTTTCCAGCTTTTTTTGCCAGTGTATTTAAGCAGTTAAACTGTTATGCCATCTATTCCAGCTGCTTTATTTTTTTTTTTTCATTTTTGTAATTGTCGATTTTACTTCTTCTAAGAGGTCTTTTAGTAAATCTTATTGGTTATTGATTGCTTGCTTTAAGTGAAAACACTGATAGGGGCAATGTATAGTTCGCTGTAGAATTTAGTCACGAGTTGTATTATATCATTACTGTCTGTAATTCTTGTGTTTTCGTTTGTTAGAGCAACGATTTGCTTCTTTCAGATTTTGCAGTCTTTCATTGTATTTTGTAGGAAGATTTCCATTAATTTAGAGCTGCCGATTTGGTCATGTAATCTTTCATCAGTTATCCTTTGGTAATAATCAGAGTTTTCTTTTAAATTGTTAATATGTATACCGGTTACTGTTATTTTTGTCTATGGTCGCTGCCTATTTAAAGAAGAAAATATAGATTGATAATTTTTACAGTTATCTCAAAAAATATTTTATTTCATTTATAAACAATCAGTTGCTTTATTCACTTTAAATATCTGTAAAATATTTATTGCCGAATTGAAGAATTTACATAGATTTTTTTTTTGGCTTTTTTTGATCTTCCATAAGAGGAAAGAGAAATTAGCGGTTCTAGGTTAACTAGAAGCTGAAATTGTACAACCTTTTAGCGCGCTTCAATTTGAAGTTGTGATATCAAAAAGTAGCCGTTTGAGAACGGAGCTTCGAGCTGTACTTATCTCACCATGCAAAATGCCATAACTTTTATATGGATATTTCTTCTTGATGCAAATTGCTTAACTTAGTCGGTCAGTAGGATCGCTTTGTTATATCACTTATAATTATTATTGAAAAAGTTATTATTTATATCATATTCTAAAAAATATGGTTTTTTCCGACATCTCAATGAGATATTTATCGATTTTTACATTTAAAAAACAAAATTAAACTTCATGATCTTAAAAATCCATCAATATTATTGTCAAAAAAAAATATGTCATTTTTGTTACAGAGACCGACGCTATCGTTCTCTGTACGAAGAAGTTGGGACACCCTATATATATATATATATATATATATATATATATATATATATACATTTATATATATATATATATATATTTATATATATATATATATATATATACATTTATATATATATATATATATATTATATATATATATATACATATATATATATATAAATATATATATATATAAATATATATATAGGGGGGCCAACCTATACGCGTTGGTCTCTGTACGATTTTTTTCGTCATACAAATATACATGGCCATTATACAGGATGCTTCAAAAAAGAGTGATATATCAAGTTATATTTTTTCATATGGAA